TAAGAAGGGGCAGGCGTCATCCAAGACGACTATTTCCCATTGGATCTGCCAATTGATCATTCAAGCCTATGGTTTGAAAGGTAAAGTCCCACCCTTTTGGATGAAGGAACACTCCACCAGGAGTGTGGGGGCATCTTGGGCAATCTGCCATCAGGCGCCAGTTGTTCAAGTTTGCAAGGCCGCTACATGGTCTTTGGTTCACACATTCACAAAATTCTACCAGATGGATGTCAGAGCCGCAGAGGATTCTGCCTTTGGCTGCATTGTTTTACGAGTGGCTGAGTAGGTTCTGAGGGATCAAACTAAGAATAAATAAATAAATAATACAGTGCAACAAAATAAAAATACTTTAGTCACTATTGTGGCTAGTAAAAGTGATGACAATATATATGCATATGATTCCGTGACAGATAATAATAGTGCTGGGGTCACCTAAGTGACCTATACAAGTGACACATGTCTTGGAAATTCGCTTTCAACAAATTTTTCCTTACCGTGAGTACCCGTGAGTATCAGTTGGATGCGCAGCAATCCCCCATAAAGCTGTGCGAACTTCGCTTACCGCGACTGCAGCTTAGCTCAACGATTCCTGCGCCTCCAACTGGTGTGCAAAGGTTTAGCTCTTTTGAGATGTGGGGAAAATGGAGCTCCCGTGATCCAGGAAAAATCAGACGACACTCCCAGGTTGGAGTTGGAATCCACTCTGCCTGGGTCTAACACCAGACTCCTGTTTTATTATCTTACAAAAACACCCCCCCCCCCCCCCCGCACGGGGGCCAAGTCAATCCCCTCCCACAGAACAATGTATAGGGAGTGTCCATACACAAGAATGTCCATGCTGCTCGGAGTGTAAAGTTCCCTCTTACTAAAACCAGTTAATCCAGTTTTTCCTGCCCTGCCCCGTAAGCTCTCTTTGGAGAGCGAGTTTCCCATTATTTACATGCTATCAGCTCCCAGCAGTATGTACATTGTCTGTACAAGCATCCCTTAGATTAAACAGTGCCAGTCTGTATCTGAATGGGCCTCGATACGATCTTTATTAAAACACATCCATCCAGATACATTTCAGGTCGGTAGCGGCTTGTAGAGATATACATGAGCCTACACACGGAGTTCGCACTGCCCGGCGCCTGGCCATACGAAGTCCATGTGGTACTATGCTGCTGATATGTGCATACAGGCCCGCGGCATTCGCATCGAATGCCGTGGTGGCATACATGCCAGTCTAAGCGCAGATCTGCCATCTCATCCATTACCGAGCTGAGTACTGTAATATATACATTGTAAATGCGCATGGCCTAATTGCAGCCTTCAGAGCTTTAATTAAGCCACGAGAGACATATGAATAACACTAATATATGACACATTTAAAGGACAACCTGTAATAGAAAATTTCCATGACACACACACAAAGATATATAAATAAATAAAACCCTCAATAATTGAGGAATAAATAGATGGTGCCACTTCAAATCTCATAAATATACTTAACAAACACTCTAATAGTCCAATCAAATGCAGAAATAAGTGTTTCTTATAAACATGCAACGTGCAATTCGTGACTGAAGTATTTTTATTTTGTTGCACAGTATTATTTATTTATTCTTAGTTTGAAGCGCTACACTAATTATTTTTTACATTTGTCACACTGGTTTGGTATCAGTTTAGAGTGTTATCAGCTAGCGATTAGGGCTTACTTCCTTATCAGCGCAGGAGGATTTTTGTTACAATTTATCAGAGGGATTATTGATGGTGGCTATCATGGTGTCATCCTCCCCTCAAATTTCGTATTGCTTTGGGACATCCCACATATTCATAAATAGCCTGCTCTGTGTCTCCTCTGATGTACGATAAAGAAATTCAGATTTTTTTCTACATACCTGTAAAATCAAATTCTTGGAGTACATCATGGGAAACAGGTCCCACCGCTCTTTTTCGGGAATGTTATTGCTTGCTGCAAAAAGTGAGGTACTTCCTGTATAGGAGGGGTTATATAGGGGAGGACCTCCTCTTTGATTGGTCAGCCAGTGTCCATTCACCTATAGGTGGACTGTAACCCACATAGTCATGAAGAGCCTCCCGTGATGTACTCCAAGAAATGGATTTTACAGGTAAGTATGTAGAAAAAATCCATTTTTTTTTTCCTACACAGTTGCATTGGGATGTCGTCACTGGGCTTAAACATGCATTTATACCTGGTGTGAATGCATGTGTTTGTCACAGTGGTTCCATAAAGCAGTGATGCAGCAGGTATATCATCTGACTACATGCCATTTTCTATAGGGCTTTTTTTTTTTTTAAACTGCAGACAAATCATATTACCAATGTTAAGTACAAAGCGCAGTGATAACCAAACTTAAAAGCAGCACTGTGTTATGAATCTCTGTGAAACAATTGTGAGAAATATAATAGTGTGAAACCTTTGTACTGACAAAATATGTCAGGGCAGGGCCGCTGGTGGCGTGTGTTGTCTGTCTTTTAGCTCCGTGTACCGAGTGAGAGATTAGCCTGCGTAGTGGCCAGTCCACAGGGCCTCTGCCTGGCGGCGGCCACATTCAGTGCCAATTGTATTCTTTTATTTTGTAAGTGTATCTTTGTGTTAAATAATAATCCTGTCTGGTAATACACAATCGAGCTTTCCTTTTTGTATATCACTGTGGATGCTGGGAGGCTGTTTAACTGAGCTGGAGCAGGAATTCGTCCGCTCTGGAGTTAGTGCTGCTTGCCTTTCTTTATTTAACCGCCTCCTGCCCACCATATAAGGAAATGACGGGAGGATGGCGGTTCTGTCATTCTGGAAGGCCGTCATATGATGTCCTCCCACTCTAACTGCGCATGCACGTCCCCGGGCGTGCACAGCGATCGGTGGTGCGCTGTGTCCCTGGGACATAGCCGATCACTGTAAAGAGACTATGACGTAGGCTCTATCATGTGTCCAATCACAGCTGATCGCATGTAAATAGGAAATGCTGATTATCGCGTGAGGAGAGGAGAGCCGGTAAGCTCTTTAGAGGGGACATGTACACTGATCATCAGTGCCCTGATGATCAGTGTAGCCCCATCTGTACCACCTGTCAGTGCCCATCAATGCCACATACCAGTGTCCAATAATGCCACATATCAGTGCCCATCAGAGCTGCCTTTCAGTGCTTGTCAATGCCACCTATCAGTGCCATATATGAGTGCTACCTTTAAGTGCCCATCACTGCAGCCTCATTAGCGTACATCAGTGAAAGAGACAAATTACTTATTTACAAAATTTTGTTTACAGAAACTAAGAAAAAAAATTTTTTTTTCAAAATTTGCAGTCTATTTTAGTTTGTTTAGCAAAAAATAAAAAACCCAGCACTGATTAAATACCACCAAAAGAAAGCTCTATCTGTCTCAAAAAAAATTATACAAATTTCATATGGGTACAGTGTTGCATGACAGCGCAATTGTCATTCAAATTGTGACAGCACTGAAAGCTGAAAATTGGCTTGGGCAGGAAGGGGGTAAAAGTGCCCAGTGGGCAAGTGGTTAAAAAATGCTAGGCAGTTTGGTGAGTGGCTTTCTGTTTGTTGGGTTCTAAACACTGAGTGGAACACACTGTTGGGAAGAAAAAATTGTTTGGAAAAAGATTATGATTTGGACTTGATTTTGTATGATTTACATTGGGTGTTTATTGGATGTATTTCTTATTGTTGAGGATTCTATTGACACTTTATATTGTTAAACTTAGGCCCCCACAGTACTGATGTTTGAGCATCGGCATTTCTGGATGTAATTTCAGATGTTTGTTTTGCAGGTATGCGCATTCATGCTTACAATACACTCCAATGCAAAATCCATTATTAGTTATGCTCATATGCGCATATTCACGCACATATGCACGTACCGGCGCAAGATACTGAGGAGGAACGCAGTTTTTTTTTCTATTTTTTTTTTTTTTTTTTTTAAACTCAAGAATACGCAGGGCTTTTTTTATGCACCTGTGAGTACAGGCACATTGTAAACAATGGGCTGCATATTTGATCAGTAAAAAAAAAAACATTGTTGAACTGAGCTTTTTCAAGCTGCAGTGTGCAAGAGGCCTTCTAGTGCATTGTCTGCTTTTGTTTCATAGAGATTCATCACTCAGCGCTGCTGTTGTTTAGTTATCACCGAACTTTGTACTTTATTTCAGGATGGAAATTACTGCAGCAGCAATGTAACATCTCTTTTTTTGGAAGTTTGGGATATTGGGATAGTGATTGTTGCTTTCAAACGCGGAGTTGGGTTTTCATTTATATTACCAATGTTGTAAATACAGCTGAGCATGAGGTATTGGTATAGGCTCTAGATGTTTCAGAAGATTATCAAGCATAAAGCTGGCTATAGATGGTAAGAATTTCAGTTGAAAATTCTTAGGAAAATTGTCAGAACATTAATTTGTTGTTCAGAAGATTGTTTGCTTTTTAACATCTGATCTTGGAATGAATGGTCTTTATCGAATAAAAACCACATACACTGTTAGAAATTTGTTTGTTCAAGAAAAAATGTTCATCCTTCCCCTTCGAATGTTCCCATCACTGCAGTCGAAAATGACCACCAATTTAACCCACTACTGATTAGAAAAAAAAACAAACTTTCTTAGAACATTCTTTTCCTAAGAATTTTCTTTCGAAATTCTACCCATCTATGACCAGCTTAAAGTAGAACTATAGGCAAAAAATTGTTTTCATTTTGGATGGAGTAAGGGATTGTTATAGACCCGGTCAGATTAACCGCTTCCCATCTGCCCTATAGCAGATATACTGCTACAAGGCGGCACAGTTGTGAAAAATCACATGTATATATATACGTGAGTTTGCACTTCCGGGTGGGGGGCCCATGTGCCCTACCCGCGCTGCCATTCAAAGCCGTGGCTGTCAATCACCGGGTCCCGGCAGGTGATTACTCGCCGGTGCCCGGTGATTGCCGAGGATTTCCAACGGGGGGGGAGGAGAACTGTTAATAAACAAAACAGTTCTCCCTGTCATCTCCTGCACACTGCTTTGAATGGCTGTGCAAAGCAGTGTGCTTACAGTGAAGCACACGCACAGCCCCATAGTAAAACACACCCAGTACACAATTAACCCTTTGGATCCCCCCAGATGTTAACCCCTTCCTACCCAGTACCATTAGTCCAGTGTCAGTGCTTTTTATTAGCACTGATCACTGTATTGGTGAAACTGGGGATGTCAATGACACAAAGTTCCCCCCAGTGTCAGAATGCATGCTAAAATCCCGCTATAAGTTGCTGATCGTCGCAATTACTAATGAAAATTTTTTTAAAAAATCCCAGTGTACATATACCACCATTTTGTAAATGCTATAACTTTCACGCAAACCAATTCATTTACACGTATTAGGATTATTTTTAGCAAAGACATGTAGCAGAATACATTTTAGCCTAAATTTATGACGAAATTAGATTTTTAAATTTTTTTTACTGGACTTGTTAAATAGCAAAAAGTCAAAAATATTGTTTTTCTTTTTTCTCAAAATTGTCGCTTTTTTTTTTTTTTTTTGCAAATAACAAAAAAAAAAAGCACCGGCGATCAAATACCACCAAAAGAAAGGTCAATTCATGGGGAAAAAAGGATGTAAATTTAATTTGGGGTGCAGCGATGCATGTCAGTGCAATTGTCAGTTAAAGTAACTCAGCGCCGTAACACAAAAAATAGCCTGGTCAGGAAGGGGGTAAATCCTCTGGAGGGAAGGTGGTTAATTTTTGTCATCTTTGACTCATTAGATAGATTTACTGTACCTTCACTTCCTGTCCCAAACAGGAAGTGAGAAAATCTCTGAAAAGAGAGGGTGAATCAGGGTTACAGACAGCAATGAAAAACCAGTAGGTTTTCTAATCCATCTCCACTCTATCCAACCCCACCTCCTGGCCCTTTAAGGGTTTCAGAAGCCGGGAGGCGGGGTTTTAGGGTCATGTGACCGCCGTGATTCCTATCACGGTGGTCACATGATCAGGAAAGGTCTCGATTGCAAGAGGAGATCGGGACCTTTCCGTGAGTACCGGACATGCGTGCTTGGAGCGCGCAGGGCGCGTACTCTCAGCACATATGTTTTTCTTAATTGCACGCAAATGTGCAACCGCCAAGAGGTTAAGTCAATAATTTGATAAGAGAGAAGATTATCCGTTATATTTCCTTAGCTTGTGTAAAAATTCAAGAGGATACTAAAACTATTTTGAAAATGACAAAATAAGCTAAGTTTCACACATAAGTATAATCAAAATATACCGTATTTATAAACCTGATTTCATTGTCCCACATAATAAATAATCCTTCATGCTTAACACAGCCATATTTGTGTTTTGTTAATAGGTCTTTGTCTGGACTTGGATCCTGATGTTGTGGCAGCACTAGATGATGATTTTGACTTCAGTGACCCTGAAAACCAGTTGGACGATGACTTTGTAATAAAGGCCAATGATCCTGTCAGTGAAAATCACAGGTAAAGGAAAATTTCTTACAAATATTAAATTTTGGTACTTGTGTATATTATTACTGCCCCCTAGAGGAAAGCTATATTTTCATGGGCAGTTTTGCCTCTTCTCTCTTCTGCTGAGTTTTGTCAGTTAATAAAAGTGTAAATGAATCTGGGCATGGCCTGGATAGCAGTGGAGGAGGATGCATGTGTGCTGAGTTCCGCTCCCAGTTCATTCTGTCTCCAATATTCTGAGTGCCTACAGCCTGCCTGCCTACCCACCGATCGTTAGCCTGGCGTGCGGCGGACCTTTCCCCACATGTCACCTCCTTGTAAATCCGCCACAGCTGCCTCTAGTCTGGACAAATTCCAGGCAGGAGTGGAAGATGGCGGTGCTTCCAGATCCAACACAGAGCCCACCACGGTTAACACCATTAAAGTGCTCGAGGCCATCTCCACCTGCAAGGCTACCCTGATGGCGAAAAATGAGGAAGTAAAGGTAGACATTTCTCTCATTCAGCAGAACATGTACAAGCTCTGGGAATGGGGCACAGAGGCAGAAGCTTGGATAGGCCGTGCAGGGAATACTGTCCATTCATTACAACACTCCTCTGAGGCCATGCAGTGTTAGGTCCAGTAGATTGCCCAAAAGCAGGATGATTTGGAGATTCACACATCACTTTGGCATTTTGGAGGGCTCTGAAGGCTCTGACCCAGCCACCTTTCTGGAACACCTGCTGATTACCTCCTTTGGTAGGACTACTTTTGTGGTGGAGCAAGCACACCACATACATGCCCACCAGCCTCTGGAGTGTGCCCCCCCTGTACCTTCATAGCTAATTGTAATGCCATTCTCCACCTCACTATGGAAAAGGGCAATTTCCCTTTCCAAAATGTGCAGGTGTCAATGTTCCAAGACTTCTCGGCGGAGGTTCAAAAGCAGCGCTTCCATATTAATCACCTGAAATACACCATGATGTTCCTTGCCTGCTTTTGGGTGGTCGGTGAAGACCGATTGCATTTCTTTGAATATCTTGATTTGGCTTCATCAATGGGACTCTACGAGGAACTGATTGTCACCTTCTGTCATGGATGCCATGTGTAAGCTGCCTGACATCCCAACCATCCAGACCTCCATGTTGTTGAGGCTCATGCTATGATCCCTTCAATTTTTCAATGTGACTGTACTTTTTATACCTACCCTGCTAGTTAACTTTGGTGGCGTTGGATGCCCCCCTTCTGCAGTGGTGGCGGATATTCTCGCTGAGCACATCCATGCCTTGTTGAACTTGCACCCTATTACTTTAGTTCTCGTGTTTATTCAACCCAATTCCCGGATGTATTGTCCCCTGTTTTCTGCTGCTCCTGTACCATGTGTGTTAACTTTCTGTTGGACTCAAGCTGACTGACACATCGTGGATCCTACTTCCTGCTATTCACTCCAGTGAACGTTCGTCCCTAGAACTGTTTTCTATGTTTGTATCTTGGTTTTTAGCTCCAGGGTTAGTTGCTGTGAAGCGTAATCTCTACCTTGGCAGCCTTCCTGGTTTTTGCTTCAGGTGTTATGATCCCACCAGGTTGGAGGGGAGGGAACGGGATGTGTTTTTTGTTTTGTTTCTTTTTGTCTTGATACTTTAAATGTTCTTTATACTTGGTATTTTAATGTAATGTGCAATGCATTGTGGTATTCAATTGTAATGCCTGGCACTCCCAGCTCACTGCTTTCTGATCTTGCTGTCTGCATCCTGAGGGCTGAGCGACCGTCTCTCCTCTGGTTTATGTCATTGGTTATCCCATGGCCTCCTTAAAATTCCTCACATGGAATGTTGATGAGATGTGAGACAAAATCAAACATTTTGCTGTCCTCAATTACCTTAATTCCCAGCGGACTGACAAAGCGGTCCTGGTGGAAACACATATCACAGGCCAGAAAAAAAAAGTATAAGGGAATGTTAAATGGAACACAATAGAATCATCGGAAATGCTAGAATGCAATATCAAAATATAATTTCTGTGTCAGTATGTAAAATATCTCAGCAGAAAGGAAATTCACAAAAATAATAATATATTTAGCTTTGTTTCATATTGTAACTGTCAGGCCATTATTGCAAAATATAAATCTTATCAGAGTTCACTTTCTATGATTTATGACCTCTATAAAGATACTTCACATACATTTGTATAATATATATGTCAAGATTATGGGCCTGTTTGTACTTTTGTAGATTAAAGTTGTCCTTTATGTTAATATTCTATATAGAAATGGGGATGATGACGAATGGGAAGATGTTGATGATGAGGAAGAGGATGGTGATGCGAGCGAAGAAGATGAGTTTGACTCAGATGGCCCTCTGTCTGATGACGAGAGCAGAGGTGAAGATGGCCCAATGAAAGAGTTCCTGTTCATGCAGGAAGAGACGAAGAGTCGCTTCTCACAGTATTCCATGTCTTCATCAGTTATGAGGAGAAATGACCAGCTTACTCTTCTGGATGAGCGCTTTGAAAAGGTGAGATCAGTGAATGATCATTAAAGTGTTGCTAAACCCACAACTGTAAAATCAGTCTGTATATGCAGTAAAGCATGCTTGTTATACTCACTGTGGAACCTAAGGGGTTAATCTTCTGCATTGTGTAAAAACCCTGTTTGATCCTGACTTCTCTGATCCTCCCCTTCTACAAGTGTCCCCCTCCTATCTCCTGACAAGCATTGTGTGGAGTCACTCTGCACATGCTCAATTTGGTGTCTATTGCTGAGGAAAACATTTCCTATATGATCACAGCTAGGCAGGTAACATGGCATGGCCAACCAGTGCTGGCCAGAAAGGGGGTCAGAGGTCAGTAAGGATTACAGGAGACGTCAAAGGAGAGTGAAGTCTCCTACAGGAATATTCAGCACTCCGCCGGCCACATCTATATGCCACGTGATCGCTGCATTCCGCTATTAAATAAAGGTAGATGATGTTTTCATTTTCATTTTAAAAATGCATTTATATTTTATTTGTGCTATGGGAGTGCTCATCCATTAGTTTTAATGTCATGGGTGTAGTATCACTTTAAAGACAGATTGCAATTCTTTACTACAGTGCAGTGGCTAGAAATAGAGCGAGAATTATTTATTTATTTTCTGTGGCATGCTTAGTTACAATTGAGCATGCATTCTTCCAAAGCTATTTCATTCTTTATACAGTATCTCACAGAAGTGAGTACATCCCTCACATTTTTGTAAATATTTTATTATATCTTTTCATGTGACAACACTGAAGAAATGACACTTTGCTACAATGTAAAGTAGTGAGTATACAGCTTGTATAACAGTGTAAATTTGCTGTCCACTCAAAATAACTCAACACGCAGCCAATAATGTCTAAACCGCTGGCAACAAAAGTGAGTACACCCCTAAGTGAAAATGTCCAAAATGTCAATATTTTGGGTGGCCACCATTATTTTCCAGCACTGCCTTAACCCTCTTAGGCATGGAGTTCACCAGAGCTTCACAGGTTGCCACTGGAGTCCTCTTCCACGACGACATCACGGAGCTGGTGGATGTTAGAGATCTTATGCTTCTCCACCTTCTGCTTGAGAATGCCCCACAGATGCTCAATAGGGTTTAGATCTGGAGACATGCTTGGCCAGTCCAACACCTTTACCCTCAGCATCTTTAACAAGGCAGTGGTGGTCTTAAAGTAGTGTAATGTAGTGTTTACTAATGTAAAGTAGTGAGTGTACAGTTTGTACATTGTAAATTTACAGTGTAAATTTGCTGTCCCCTCAAAATAACTCAACACACAGCCATTAATGTCTAAACCGTTGGCAACAAAAGTGAGTACACCCCTAAGTGAAAATGCCCAAATTGGGCCCAATTAGCCATTTTCCCTCCCCGATGTCATGTGACTCATTAGTGTCACAAGGTCTCAGGTGTGAATGGGGAGCAGGTGTGTTAAATTTGAGGTTATCGCTCTCACTCTCTCATACTGGTCACTGGAAGTTCAGTATAGCACCTCATGGCAAAGAACTCTCTGAGGACCTGAAAAAAAGAATTGTTGCCCTACATAAAGATGGCCTAGGCTATAAGAAGATTGCAAGACCCTGAAACTGAGCTGCAGCACGGTGGCCAAGACCATACAGCGGTTTAACAGGACAGGTTCCACTCAGAACAGGCCTCGCCATGGTTGACCAAAGTTGAGTGCACGTGCTGAGGGTCATATCCAGAGGTTGTCTTTGGCAAATAGACGCATAAGTGCTGCCAGCATTGTTGCAGAGGTTGAAGGGGTGTGGGGGTCAGCCTGTCAGTGCTCAGACCATACGTTGCACACTGCATCAAATTGGTCTGCATGGCTGTCATCCCAGAAGGAAGCTTCTTCTAAAGATGATGCATAAGAAAGCCTGCAAACAGTTTGCTGAAGACAAGCAGACTAAAGACCTGCATTACTGGAACCATGTCCTGTGGTCTGATGAGACTAAGATAAACTTGAATGGTGTCAAGCGTGTGTGCCGGCAACCAGGTGAGGAGTACAAAGACAAGTGTGTCTTGCCTACAGTCAAGCATGGTGGTGGAAGTGTCATAGTCTGGGGCTGCATGAGTGCTGCCAGCACTGGGGAGTTGCAGTTTATTGAGGGAGCCATGAATGCCAACATGTACTGTGACATACTGAAGCAGAGCATGAGTTCCTCCTTTCGGAGACTGGGGTCGTAGGACAGTATTCCAACATAACGACCCCAAACACACCTCCAAGACCACCACTGCCTTGTTAAAGATGCTGAGGGTGAAGGTGTTGGACTGGCCAAGCATGTCTCCAGATCTAAACCCTATTGAGCATCTGTGGGGCATTCTCAAGCAGAAGGTGGAGAAGCATAAGATCTCTAACATCCACCAGCTCCGTGATGTCGTCGTGGAAGAGGACTCCAGTGGCAACCTGTGAAGCTCTGGTGAACTCCATGCCTAAGAGGGTTAAGGCAGTGCTGGAAAATAATGGTGGCCACCCAAAACATTGACATTTTGGACATTTTCACTTAGGGGTGTACTCACTTTTGTTGCCAGCGGTTTAGACATTATTGGCTGTGTGTTGAGTTATTTTGAGTGGACAGCAAATTTACACTGTTATACAAGCTGTACACTCACTACTTTACATTGTAGCAAAGTGTCATTTCTTCAGTGTTGTCACATGAAAAGATATAATAAAATATTTACAAAAAATGTGAGGGGTGTACTCACTGTACAGAACACACCCAGGCTGCCATATTGCTTTGAATTGCATTTTACAGAAAATTACAGCGCTGCAGATTGAAAAGGAAAGGTAATTTTTAATAATATTCAGTTATGACTTGTGTCCCAATTGCATACACTTTTTTTTTTTTTTTGTCCCACGAAAGTCAAGTTACCTTTTAAAACCCAATTGAACTTTATGTTTATATCAGATAAATACATTGAGGTCCATCAAAACAAAAGGTGTTGAATGTTTTGCTTTTTATTTCCCTTCTAAAGCAGCTGCAGCAGGGGAAAATACATTTCCCCCATCAGCAGTTAGGGTGTGAGCCCTGTTCTTTGTTGGGAAGCAGTTATTTATCTGCAGAAGTCTAACATGCCCCTTATCAAATCAGATCTATAATTCTGCAGTCAGCAAAGCCTGTACTCCCTGCTGATCGGAAAGCTCTGGATGTGACACAGCAGCGGTCTAGTCAGACCTCTGCAAAGAGACCATAACTTCCTGAGTATGGGTCCCAATATGCAGCATGCTGGCAGGTGACAGCTCAAGCTGTAGCTGCTTTCTAAAGAAAACAAGCTGTAGAGCTCTGAACATTTTTTTGTTTTGATTCACCTGGAATGTATTTAGTCAATTTAACCGCTTCCCATCCACCCTATAGCAGGAATACTGCTACAGGGTGGCACGGTTGCGCGAAACCACATATATATGCGTGATTTTGCAGTTCCAGGTAGGGGGCATGCACGAGCCCTGCCCGCACCGCCATTTGTGGCTGCAGTTGTCAATCACCGAGTCCCGGCCGGTGATTACTCGCCAGCACCCGGTGATCGCCGAATATTGCCGACGGGGGAGAGAACTGTATGTAAATAATACAGTTCTCTCCCCTGTCAGCTCCTGCACACTGCTTTGTATGGCTCTGCACAGCAGAGCCATATAAAGCAGTGTGCTTACAGTTGAAAGCGCACACACAGCTTAACTGTGTGCTGTTTCACAGTAACTCTTTGATCACCCCACATGTGAACCCCTTCCTGCCCAGTGCCATTAGTACAGTGTCAGTGCTTTTTATTTGCACTGATCACTATATTGGTGTCACTGGGGATGTCAGTGACACCAAGTCAGTTCCCCCTAGTGTCAGAATGCCCGCCGTAGTTCTGCAGTGCCGCTATAAGTCGCTGATCGCTGCTATTACTAGTAAAAAAACAACAAAATTCCAGTATATATACCGCCATTTGTAAACACTATAACTTTCATGTAAACCAATACAGTTTTTTTTCTCCAAATTGTCCCGTCTTTTTTTTTTTATAGCACAAGAAATAAAAAACGCACAGGCGATCAAATACCACCAAAAGAAAGCTCAATTTGTGGGGTTACAAAAAACTTAAATTTAATATGGGTGTAGCGTTACATGACTGCGCAATTGTCAAAGTAACACAGTGCCGTAACGCAAAAAATGGCCTGTCAGGAAGGGGGTAAATCCTCTGGAGGGCAAGTGGTTAAAGAGAAAGTTCTGTTGGGTTTTAAAGCTGAACTTCAGGCACAAAATCTAATTTAAATATATTCCTAAATAACTACAAATGATATAAATTCTGTTTGTGTGTGCTGAATGTTTTTGCAGGCTCGGATATTGCCTTATAAAAGTAGCATTGACATCATCACTGTGATGTGCTTAGCCTTTGCAAAAAGCACATCTACAGGAGGGGGTGCAGACAAGACCAGTTATCCTGTACAAAGAGAGTGAGCAGCAGTGAGTGGTCATTACTGCAATAGGCTCCTGCACATTGGATTACTGCACAATTCTGGAAGAAATACACAAAGATTCCAGGAAGATTAAACATGGATCTTTTATTTAGACAAAACTTAATATCTTAGTATATCTTATCTATATTATGTTTTTTTTTTTTTTTTTTGTTTACAGTTTTATGAGCAGTTTGACGAGGATGAGATTGGCGCCTTGGATAATGCAGAATTAGAAGGATTTATTCAGACAGATAGTGCTAGACTTCAAGATGTTGTAGAGGACTACTTCAAGCAGAAGGCAAAAGAGTAAGTGTTATCTTTTTCTACTGTATGGGTTGCTTTAAAAAGTATCTATCAAGATAGAAAGAAATATTGGAGCAGCCAGGAAGTCAGAGATTGGGAACTGAATTGGACACTAACAGTTGCAGATGAATGAATTGCGATCTCCCAGTCTTCAGGTGAAAGCTGACAATCCCCAACACCCCAGCTAATAGTGACAGGCCCATGTAATGGAAGAAAAGCTAAATAAGGGGGATGTAAATTCATGCATAAGACCTATTGAAATTGGTTCTCTTTACTGTACGAGCAGATTTATTTTTTTCCTAATGTGACTGTGCAGACAGGAAAGAAAAAAATACTTCAGAAAACGTATTCATTGCCTATCTTGTTCTGATATGCTTGCAGATTGCTGACAACAAGCTCAACACAAACCCAGGTCTTTCCAACAATAAAGGCAACAGCTTTGCTAAGGCTTTGTTAAAACCTAACTGCAGGTTTACTATGAGTTTAAAAAGTTAATTTGGGCCAAGCTGACCCAAACAAACTATTTCCTTAACTAACAGGTGTGCCTGCAAGGAGTGCTGTATAAACTATGTACTGTATTTATGCAATAATTCTGTGCACCGATTAGTTGTCAAAAGCTGCAAGCAATAAACATGAAAAAAACATAAATATTAAATCACAATGGGCTGTGCCATAACCAAACAATAATAATTAAAATCTCAATAAATAAAACATTAACAACATGTCAAACATTATTATTATTATACAGTATTTATATAGCGCTAAAATGTTTGCTCAGCGCTGTACATTATAGTGGGGGACAGAACATTACAGTAACAAAACACGAGGGGGTCAAGGGCTCTGCTCTTTTGAGCTTACAATCTAGGAGGGAGGGCATAGTGGTACAGGAGGAAGTGGCTGTGGGGGATGGAGTGGTAGGAGGAGTGGAGGAGATCGGCTGTTAGGTGAGGGCGGGGTAGGCTTCCCTGAAGAGATGGGTTTTCAGGGTGCGCCTAAAGGTGAGGAGGGTAGGTGACAGTCTGATGGATTGGGGTAGTGAGTTCCAGAGGAAGGGGGAAGTCCTGGAGAAGTCCTGCAGTCGGATGTGGGAGGTGGAGACCAGGGAGCTAAAAAGTAGGAGGTCTTGTGAGGAGCGAAGATTACGGGTAGGGTGGTATTTGGGTATCAGGTCAGTGAGGTAGTTTGGGGCAGTGTTATGAATGGCTTTGTATGTCTGTGTTAGTAGTTTGAATTTAATGCATTGGGCAATCGGGAGCCAGTGAAGGGAATGACAGAAGGGGGTGGCAGAAGCGGAGCGGTTGGTAAGGTGGATGAGTCTGGCCGCTGAGTTCAGGATAGACTGAAGTGGGGATAGCCTGTGTTGGGGTAGGCCGGTGAGAAGGGAGTTGCAGTAGTCCAGACGTGAGATAATAAGGGAGTGAACGAGTTGTTTAGTAGTGCCTGGAGTTAGGAACGTACGTATTTTGGAGATGTTGCGGAGGTGGAGCCTGCATGAGTTTGTCAACATGGACATGGGGTTGGAAGGACGGGTTTGAGTCTAGAGTGACACCTAGGACTTTGGCTTGCGGGGTGGGACTGATGGTGGCGTTGTTGGTCGTGATGGAGGGGGGGGGGGGGGGGGGGGGCGTGCGCTGGGGGGAAATCAGGAGCTCGGTTTTGGAAAGGTTCAATTTGAGGAAATGGAGCGACATCCAGTCTGATATGTCGTTCAGTAGGTGGGTGATACGGGCGGAGACTTAAGGGGTGAGGCCAGGGGTGGAGAGGTAAATTTGCATGTCATCAGCATAGAGATAGTAGTTGAAGCCGTGGGAGTGTATCAGTTTGCCGAGGGAGGAGGTGTAGATGGAGAAGAGAAGGGGCCCGAGGACAGAGCCTTAGGAGACCACCACAGAGAAGGGGAGAGAGGGGGAGGTGGTAGCGTTATAGGTAACGCTGAAGGAGCGTTGGGATAGATAGGAGGAGAGCCAGGAGAGAGCGGAGTCTCTGATGCCAAGGGAGTGTAGTTTATTAAGGAGGAGGGGGTGGTCAACTGTGTCGAAGGCCGCAAAAAGGTCGAGAAGTAAGAGGACTGAGTAGTGGCCATTAGCTTTGGCGGTTAGCAGGTCGTTGGTGAGTTTGAGTAGGGCGGTTTCGCTGGAGTGTAGGGGACGGAAGCCAGACTGTAGTGGATAGAGGAGGTAGTTGCTTAGGCGATTGTAGACTAAGCACTCAAGGAGCTTGGAAGTAAATGGCAGCAGGGAGATGGGTCTAAGGTTGTTCAGGTCGGTGGGGTCCAGGGAGGGTTTTTTTGAGTATGGGGGTGATGTGCGCGTGCTTTAGGGGGGAGGGGAATGCGCCAGTAGAGAGGGAGAGATTGAAGATGTGGGTGAGGATGGAGGAGGAGGTTGACCGGAGGAGTTTTGTGGGGACAGGGTCAAGGGGGCAAGTGGTGAGGCGGGCTTCTGAGAAGACCTTAGTGACCTCTTCGGTGGTAGCAGGGCTGAAGGAGCGGAGTGTTGGGGAGGTTATAGTGTGCGGGATGTTAGGTGCGGTGGGGGGTAGGGCGGTTGTGAGGTCAGAGGAGGGTAGAGTTGATGGGGTTATAGTGGGAGGGAGGCTAGGTGGGGAGGTAGGTTGAGCATTGGCGATGTCCTTACGGATTGCGTCGATCTTATTTTGGAAGTGATTGGCAATCTCGTGGGCGGTGAGTGAGGTACTGGGTGGGGGGGGGGGGGAGAGTAGGGAGTTGAAAGTGGAGAAAAGCCGGCGAGGACAGGTGGAGAGGGTGTTGATGAGGGTTATGAAGTAGGCTTGTTTGGCGGCGTGGAGGGAGGAGGAGTAGGTGAGGAAGGCAGATTTGTAGAGGGAGAACGCTCGAGGGGATTTGGTTTTGCGCCATAATCGTTCCAGCGCGCGACTGCGTCATTTACGATTTTTAGTGTGGTCGTTCTGCCAGGGTTGAAGCGGTCGGGGTCTAATGCTACGTGTGGTTAGGGGGGTGCTAAGGAGTCTAAGGCAGCTGACAGCGAGTCGTTATACGCAGCTGCAGAGTGGAGAGGGGCCGGGTTCAGGTTGCGGAGTTTACGGCTGGTGATGGTTTGACGTTTGGGGGGGGGGGAGGAGGTGTTTGAGGACGGGGAGATGGAGAACGTAATGAGGTTGTGGTCAGAAAGAGGGAAAGGGGTGTTTGTGAGGTTGTGGGGGGTGCAGAGATGGGAGAAGATGAGGTCCAGGGTGTTCCCGTCGGTGTGGATGGAGGTCTGTGTACACTGTGTGAGTGCAAAAGAAGAAGTTAAGTGGAGAAGTTGGGATGTAGCCGGGTTGTTGACATTGATAGGGATATTGAAGTCTCCAAGGATGATGGTGGGTAGCTCAGAGGAGAGAAGAAGGGTAGCCAGGCAGAAAAGTCGTCAAGGAAGCGGGATACGGGTCCAGGAGGCTGATAGATTACTGGTGGGGGAGAAGAGTCGGATGCATTAAAGTCCAATTTAAAATGTAAAGCCATGTTTCTATTTAAATGTGTATTCCATCCAGCGCACTGTTGCAACATGTTGCTGAATAATGATAATCATATCTGCAGTGGCTTTCCAAAAGACTTAATTGCATAAATAGAGTGCTTTTGGGGGTCTGCATCCTTTTTTCTTCCCGGAACGAATAGGTAAATGCTTAGGCTTTGATGATGGATTTCAGTAGAGACTGCCTAATGCTACACATTTGGGAGGCTGTAGCCACTCTTTGAAGCTACCAAATGAGCACCATGTCAGCCTTTGTGTTTTCTGAGCATTGAATCACGCAGATCTGTCTTCCCACCACCTGAGCTGTGGATGGTTGCCTGAGCCCTGAAGAAAATAGTGAGATGTCTGAGGAGAGTCCAGCAGGTCGAACCTGGACGCCAGTGATTATACAGAGAAGTATTTAGAAGTTTGTTGTGAGGGTCAGTATACTTAGGTGAGAGTTTGCCCAACCAGGGTTTCTGTTTCGGTGGAGGTTTTCTGCTTGCACACATTTTCAGCAGTTGCTTGATGCTGCATTGCACTGGATGGAATACACATTTGGATAGAAACATGGATTTAAATTGGACTTTGATACATACAGTATACAGCACTGTGTTCCAGCAGTGGGATAGGGACTGCTCAACCATTCACACGAAGCTTTGTACTTTTATGCATGGATACAAGACTTCCTGTATTTGGTTGAGGTAGAGAAGCAGGTGCATGACATCACAATCTTTACCTCAGTCAATCACAGGAAGCCTTGTATTCATTCATAAATGTACAAAGCTTCCTGTGAATGGCTGAGCAGCACTTACCCAACTTGATTTTGTTCTGGGAATGGGATAGCACTGTGTACTGCGTGTAGCTAAGACTTTTTACACTTTATACAATGCTTCCAGTGGGCGCACCTATTGTTAAATTAAATGTTGTTTTTTGGTCAGCTTGGCCCGAACAAGCTAGTTTAAAGTCATTGTAAACCTGGAGTTAAGCTTTAAATAGAACTTGTTGGGTACCAATGTTGTCTGTAACAGAACAAAGTGCTAGACTTTCCTGGCCTAGATTTTTACTACACAGGGTTGCTGTAGATGATTTGGAGAATATGAAATGCCTTCCACACAGGCCTGCTATAGTTGTAGTGGAAAGGTACTGTCATCCCTCTGTGAAATCTACACAAGGCTGCTTTAGCTGTAATGTGAAGGCACTGCAAAGTACATGTTAAATGGCACCTACACCAGGGGTGGGCAAACTTTTTGACTTGAGGGCCGCAATGGGTTCATATATTGGACCCGGGGGCCGGACCAAGAGTAGATGAATGATGTGTATGTGTCATCCATAGTAAGTATAGTAATATTCCCCCATAGTAAGCATAGTAATTAATCCCCCATAGTAATTAATCCCCCATATAGTAATTCATCCCCCATATAGTAATTCATCCCCCATATAGTAATTCATCCCCCATAGTAATTCATCCCCTATAGTAATTCGTCCCCCATATAGTAATTCGTCCCCCATAGTAATTCATCCCCCCTATAGTAATTCATCCCCATAGTAATTCATCCCCCACATAGTAATTCATCCCCCACATAGTAATTCATCCCCCATATTAATTCATCCCCCATATAGTAATTCATCCCCCATATAGTAAGTCCTCCATATAGTAATTCATTCCCCATATAGTAAGTCCTCCATATAGTAATTCATTCCCCATATAGTAAGTCCCCCATATAGTAATTCATTCCCCATATAGTAAGTCCTCCATATAGTAATTCATTCCCCATATAGTAAGTCCCCCATATAGTAATTCATTCCCCATATAGTAAGTCCTCCATATAGTAATTAATTCCCCATATAGTAAGTCCCCCATATAGTAATTCATCCCCCATATAGTAAGTCCTCCATATAGTAATTCATTCCCCATATAGTAAGTCCTCCATATAGTAATTCATTCCCCATATAGTAAGTCCCCCATATAGTAATTCATTCCCCATATAGTAAGTCCTCCATATAGTAATTAATTCCCCATATAGTAAGTCCCCCATATAGTAATTCATTCCCCATATAGTAAGTCCCCCCTATAGTAATTCATCCCCCATATAGTAAGTCCCCCCTATAGTAAGTCCCCCCCCTGTGTCAATTCACTTACCTTTGGTCCGCGCGTTCCTCTCGTATTCCCGCGCCGTTCTGGTCTTCAGGGAGGACTGTGAGAGGAGTTCGTCACGCTGCCCCACCTACATCCTGGCTGCCCCGCCTACATCCTGACAGCTGCAGAGTCCTGACGTCCGAGAGGAGGGAGGGGGGCGGCCATCCGAGAGGGGGGGCGGCCATCCGAGAGGAGAGGAGGAGGGGAGAGGAGGGAGGGGAGCGGGCGCCCGGCACACAGGAGAGCCGCATCTAAATTTGTAAAGAGCCGCGGCTTGCCGACCACTGGCCTTGCGGGAGCCTAGCTCCGCGGGCCGGATTAAAAGGTCCGCCGGGCCGTATACGGCCCGCGGGCCGTAGTTTGCCCATTGCTGACCTACACAGAGCTTATATAATTGTAGTGGAGAGGCACTGTCAAGCACAAATTAAGTGCCACCTACACAGAGTGGCACCATCAAGCACATATAAAATGTCACACATTAGCTGCAATAAATGTAGTGGAAAGGCTTTGCCAAGCATGTGTAAAATGTTACATGAGTTGTTATGAATATGCTGTTTATACATAATATTCAGTTTGCATCTGTACCTCCATTTGATACATTCGGAGGAAGTGGAGAAGAATGATAGTTCATACTGAAAATATGTATGTTTTGTGGCAAATATTCTGCATTTTGTAAAAATAGGGCTATGAGTTAAATATGTACAAAGTCCTAATGTGATGAGTTTATGCTAATGCTTCATTTACTGGGCCTATAATCTTTCGAAACTCTATGCAGGTGTGTAAAGTTAAAGGATTTGAAACCCAGAGAAAGTTTGGACTTGATTGAAGAAGAAGATGAAGAAGTGGAAGAAGAAATGCAAATTATAGTTATTGAAGAGCCTGCTGAAAAGTGGGACTGTGAATCAATACTCAGTAAGTGTATTAATGATACTTTCATGATACTGTGTAGTTAGACTTCATCATCCTCATGTTACACTTTGTGCAGTGGCTGGTTCCCAGTCTTGGTTGTTACTGACAGGCACTGACGATCTCAGAAGAGCTCTGACATAGTGATCAAATTGAGGGTGGTGCTTTCAGCCTGCAGTCGAATGCTGCCAAAAAACAATTAGTCAAGGTTTCCCTGGTTACTTTTTCCACCTTCTCTAGCCTTACCAGGCTTACTAAAAGCAAATGGCAATCTTTTTTGCATGATGTCATAGGTTGCCCAGTACTTCTAGATCCTTGGCTATGCCTGCTGTGTCCTGAGTATTTAGATATAAACATTTATCTGCACAGAGGTATTGTTGACAACAAAAAACCTGATAGCTAAGATGTGCATCCAATCTGGATTTCTGTCTCGGCAGCCCAGTAAAGAAGTTTCGTCAGGTGAAAACACAAACTGCTGCTGGTTGTAGTGGAGGGAAAACTATTACATATAGACTATTGCTAACTTATGAGAACCTTTGCAGACTATGAGGAAAAAAAAAATCAAGACTGGGCCCACTGTCAAGGGAAAAGAGAAAAGAAAGGACATCAAGTAGTATCTTGTATTGCACCTGCTTTTCTGTGCTTGATTAGCTGCATTGTAGGGCAGAGCATTAACTGGGGGCATGTTAGCTCTTTTGTGATAGCAATAAAGTTAAATTGAAAAAAAAAAAAATACAAAAAATGAATAAAAACAATAAAAAACCCCAAAAAACTTTACAACATCCTCTGCACATTTTAATTTATTTTTTCCTGAAAGCATGCATTTGAAAAACAGCTGCGCAAATATTGTTTGAAAAAAAATTGCATTCTCCAGGGCCTCTGCTTTTAGAAAATATTAAATGTATGGGGTTTTAAGTAATTCTCTGATTTTACCATGTGGAAAATTAAAGAAATGCCTAAATTCGAAGTGGTTAACCGATAAGCCCTAATCTATATATAATAACTTTGATTACTTTTCAGTTAAAGTTTTTTTTTTTTTTTTTCTTTCTATTTCTTTCATTTTCTTTTCACAGGTACATATTCAAATTTATATAATCACCCGCAGTTAATTAAGGACCCACCAAAGGTATGGTATTCTCCTAATGGCAATTCTTTGTGTTAAGCAATTTCATAGTCTAAATAATGCCATGAAAGCCATTTATTTTTTTGTAGTGAATGCCAAAAGGGATAGGCTCGTGTTAAAATTTTACTTACCTTCTAAGCCTGACTAGTTAGATTTTAGAGCTGTAAGGTTTCTCCAGCAGGTTACCTACGTTAAAATATATAGATATTGGCCCTGGACTGACCTCCATCTAATACTTGTACCACATTTCTATCAACACTACGAAAAAATTAGTATTAGTACTTTCAGGTGCTTTTCAATCCCCATGCTCTTTTTTTCATAGTAGGTTTTTTACATTGTGTCTGCATGTCTAAAATATTCACATTTGAAATCAAAAGACATTGTTCTGCTACAGAGGAGCTCAGGAGAAATCCCTCCAGAGCAGTCTAGTAATATGTTTGAAAACATTTATATTCAAATGTGTGAAGGGCTCAGAATGAATGTTGTATGAAGGTGTTAACTGTCATTTGTTCTTTAGACCAAGCCAATAAAGGTATCTGCCAAAACTGGCATTCCGCTGGGTGTTCTTCCTGGAAGGGGGCCTACAGCCAAACAAGTAGAGCGCATGGAAAGGATTAATGATGGAGATTTGCCCAGAGTTTCTACGCAGCAGCGTTCCAAACTTGAATCCACCGAAGAGAGAAAAGCCAGGAAACAAGTTATAAAAGAAGAAAGAAAGGTGAGCTGTGTTCCTTTGCCTCCCAGTATGTACTACTCACAATATTTAAATGCCTCTTTCTCCTGTCCACTACCAACTATCGTGAGAACAAACACACATTTATGAACTTAATTCTATATTTATTGTGGTCCTATTTAACCATAAATTTATGCTTGGAACCAGGGGCAGACTGACCATTCGAGCACTCGGGCACTGCCCGGGGTCAGTAGGGGGCCCCATAAAATGCCCCTGGTACATTTTTATAGGCTTTTTTGGGTGTGTTTTGAGTGTGGGCAAGGACACGGGCCCCATGATCCCCAATTGCCCGGGGGCCCCATGAGTTGTCAGTCCGCCGTTGTCTGCTTGGAACTGAAGTAAGGTTAAAGGATAAGTTCAAACAATAAAAAGAAAAATTCCCAGCTCAACTTATCAACCAGCTTGCTACCAGCTGAATGGTCCTGTCCAACAGTTTGTGTTAAAAACAGGGGATTAGTTAGCACACATTTGCAAATACATGTTTAAGCTGCAGAGCCTCTTCACGGCACCCCATTATTCTGCAGTTCCTAAGTCTATCATTTTGATAGCCTCCATTGTAAATGCACATGCATCATAATTAATAGACTGAGGGCAGGTGACCTTGAGGGAGCCAACCAATCCTTAAAGGCACAGGGGCGCACGGGACACCCAGCATATATAGCACAATGGCAGCCAAGGTGTCCAGTGCACCCCTGTGCCTTTAAGGAGGTGTGGGCTCCCTCAGGCAGTATTTGCAAATGTGTGCTAACTAAACCCCAGTTTTTAACACTAACTGTTAAGACAGAACAATTCGGTTGGTAGCAAGCTAGTCGGTAAGTTGAGCTGAGAATTTTTCTTTTTGTTTGACATGCATCGCCCTTCCATGTGCTCCTTGCTGTGAGGGCCAGTTATAGATTGGGGCAGTTGCCATTTGTACTGTTTATATACTGGTTTGGGGACCCTGTGCCTTAAGGGAGGGATGGGCTCCCTCAGGCTCACCTGCCGTCAGTCTATCAATTGTGATGCATGTACTCTTACAATGGAGGCTCTCAAAATTATAGAGTTAGGAACTGCAGAATACTGGGGTGCTGTAAAGAGGCTTTGCAGCTTACGCATGTATTTGCAAATGTGTGCTAACTAAAGACTGTTAGACAGGACAATTTGGTTGATAGCAAGCTGGTCTGTAAGTTGAGATGGGAATTCTTATTTTTATTGTTTGACATGCATCGCCCCTCCATGTGCTCCTTTCTGTGAAGGCCAGTTATAGATTGGGGCAGTGGCCATTTGTTTGTAAAGGTTAAGTTCACCTCTGGGAGCATGTTATATGTTCCACCCGGTTTTAGGGTGGAACATATTCTCACTGCTGCAGCCACTGCCTGATTCCCCCCCCCCCCCTTCCTCTTTCTTGTGACAGCAGTACGGGGGGAAGTTCACTGTACTAGCTGTCAGTTTTTTAAATTGGTGCTGTCCATTTTTTAAATTCTGTGAATGATTGCACTAAAATTACTGATATCCTTTGCGGATATCTGCTTGTAGTTCTCACTGAAATACCAAACCGCTGTGGAGCGCTGTGGTAGTTAATTCAGTCTTCCTCTCAGTGTTCAACTGTCTGCTTGTACGAGGTATAAGCACACAGATTAAACTGTCAGTCTGCTGGAGACCTGCATGGCACCAGTGATCTGCTGATAGATGGTGCAATGCTTTACAGGCTCAAAAAATATAAGTGCACATTTTTTTACCTGCAAAAAATGTGCATTTATTATTATTTTTTTAAGTGAACTTATCCCTTAAACCTGTTTCATTTTAGAGATTTAAAAGCAATGAACCCAGATTCACCTGGAGGAGCAGATGTCAACGTTTCTTGGTCACAGGTTCTTTACTTTTCCCTTCCAGCATCTGTCATATGGCTTATGTCTTCTTCCGCTCTGACACACAGCATCTTGTTTGGTGTTAAAAAAAACAAAACAAAAACTAATTAATCAGTGCCACTTTAAAGTTCAGTGAAGCCCATCTGTCACTTTCTTTTTAACTGCTTGTGCCAGAATGTAAATTTTTCCATAAGCCAAGAAAGAGTTTTTTTGGAAAACGCATGCTTTTCCATGTTAGTTTACTTAAATCTTTTAAAACCGTAACACAATGAAACCTCCTTGATCAGAAAAATTAAGTAGAAATATGGATCATTAACCCCTTCCATACCTGGCACTTTTACCCCCTTCCTGCCCAGGCCATTTTTTCAGGTTTCAGTGCTCTCACATTTGAATGACAATTGCGCGGTCATACAACATTGTACCCAAACTAAAATTTTATCATTTTCTTCACACAACTAGAGCTTTCTTTTGGTGGTATTTAATCACCCCTGGGGTTTTTATTTTTTTGCTAAATTAACAAAAAAAGACCCAAATTTTTGAAAAAAAAAAACACGTTTTTCTTTGTTTCTGGTATAAACGTTTGCAAATAAATAATTGTTCGTCATAAATTTAGGCCAAGATGTGTTCTGCTACATGTCTTTGGTGAAAATAACCCAAATTAGTATTTATTTAGTCTGTAGGAAAGTTATAGAGTTCACAAACTATGGGATATATCTGAAAATTGATCAATCCTGAAGTACTGACAGCCAATCTAATTTTTTTGAGGTCCAAGAATGTCAGAACAGTACAGATATCCCCCAAATGACCCCTTTTTGCAGAGTAGACAGTCCGACGTACTTCATAAGAGGCATGGCAAGTTTTTTGTAAGTTGTAATTTTTTTGTCATTTTTCTGAAATGAAGAAATAAAATTATTTTCACTATTTTTTTTTTGTTTATATACCATCACCAGTGCAGTACAGCGTCGTCATATAACTGTCAAGGCGGTGATCAGGGACACTGACTGGTGACAGTACGAAAAAAAAAAATTGATAATTTAAAAAAACATTTTTTTTTATTAAATTTTTTTCTCTTTTTTTTAAGATTTTTTTTTTTTCATATTTCACTATGACCAAAGTAGTATAATGTTACCATAGTAACATTGTTCTACTTTGGGGAAGTGATCAGTATTATTTTTTTTTTTTTTACACAGTTTGCTTATAGCAAAGAATTACTTTGCTTTAAGCAAGCATTTACCTGAATGAAATCGATTCATTCAGGATTTTTTTTTTTTTCTTAACTGTGATTTGGCCACAGCTAATCACATGAAACAGCTGGGCTCTAATTGGCCCAGCTTGTGCATGTGATCGCTGTGACCATTCACAGCTAGCCACACTTGTATACAATGGATGGCATGAAAGGAAGCCATCCATTGTATACAACTGTCATGTGACCTGCTGTGATTGGTCACAGCAGGTCACATGGTACTGGCAACGGGGCCGGTACACAGATCTGTCATCGGCCGTGTCCGATGTACACGGCATGTGACAGATCGCGCGGCTCCGCGGGCAGGCAAACTGCGCATGCATGAAAGGACACCACATGGCGTCCACCCGGAGGGACGAGGTGTTTTGCCGGCCGCCATCTGGCTATAGGCCTGGGGGGAACCTGTTAAGCCTGTTGGCATGATGGAGCGTGAGTTTATAATATTCATAGGCTGCCAAAGTATTATGTTTGAAGATATTTATCTGGTCAGCAATTGTGGGTGTATATAGAATAAACACTGACAGAGAGAAAAATGAATAAATATATATATATATATATATATATATATATATATATATATATATATATATATATATATATATAAAATACAAAAGTTTTAGGACATTAGGAAATGGCTAGAACTACACAGCTGTAAAAAAATAGTTTTCCAACAGCAAAATTACCCATGGGACATTAGCCTTTCAAACTAGCCTTTGTCAAGAGTTCTCTGAGCTGGTGGAGCTGCAGAATCATGTGACCGGACTGAAGTGGATTTAAAATAGGTTAGTACACAAACCTTTTTTCATACAGGTTAGGCAGGAAAGGAAGGGGTGAAACATTTTTAAGAATGGTTAGGCTTTTCTTCCACTTTAAGGCCACATTCACACAGGCGATTTAGGTTGAAGGTGTGAATTGTAGTGGCAAGAATCTTCTGATTCCTGCTGCGGTTGAAAGCGAATAAATGCAGCTGCCAGCCCCATTGACTATATTGACAGATCGCTGGCAGCTGCAGCTATTCTCCGTCTGTCTGCATTTCAGTGATTACTTGCTGTGATCGCTGCTGGATGCACACATCATCGCACGTAATCGCCAAATATCACCTCGCCACAAACAGTCACAGCAGGAATCAAAAGATTCTTGCTCCTACAGTTCACACCGACCTAAATCACTAATGTGAATGTAGCCTTAGGTGCACATGGTAATGTTATTGTACCCTAAAAGGTTGGGTACAATAGAAATGCATCATTTCTACCCACGTCTGTAAAAGAGAAAAAGGAACAAGCAAATCAAACAATCTCAACTTTGGCAGAGAAGTTATGTCAATTGCAGTAAAAAAGGCTCGTCATGAGAGAAGTATGGAGGGTCCATTTGGTGACAGCCTTCCGAAAATATTACTCTATTATTTTGACCCTTTGGCTTTATAGCTTTAAAGTGGTACTAAGGGTTCGGGTTTAAAAACAAAACAAAAATAACAATCATGTCATACTTACCTGCACTTTCCAGTGGTTTTGCACAGAGCAGCCCCGATCCTCTTCTTTTCAAGTTACCCGCCGGTGATCCTGGCTCCTCCAACTTGACCAATGTCCCCAATAGCAAGCCACTTGCTATGGGGGCACTGCTGCGTGCTCGCTCTTGAGCACAGCTCTATGCGTCCATAAGCCACGGCACGGCCCCACCCCCTGCGCTTTCCTCATTGGCTCACTGGCTGTGATTGAAAGCAGTAGGAGTCAATGGCTCCCGCTGCTGTCTTAGCCAATGAAGAGAGGGAGTCCTGGGACAACCAAGGCTCTTGTGCATATCGCTGGATCGAGAGGGAGCTCGGTTGAGTATTAGCGGGGGAATGGGGGGGTTGCTGCACACAGAAAGTTTCCTACATATCGCAAATAAAAACTTGACAGATGTCCTATCCATTCCCCACTGTGCTGATCTTGCATAGTTTGTGGCTGTTGACCGATGGCTGTTTCCTGTTTTGTATTGATAACAGAAACCCTGGATGATGCTTAAGATGTTGGTGCTAGATAGGGAAAAGCCTGAAAAATGGCACCAAGAAGGGGTTTCACAGATTTTTGGAGATACTGCCTTACTAGGGTCTAAACAGTTGAGCTAAGCCTGAAGGCTAAATTAGGCTGCCAGTTCTTTTATATTTGTGTTAAATTAATACTTGACTTTTTTTTTTCCAGGAACGAAGAATGGAGAAGAAAGCCAATAAACTTGCTTTTAAAGTAGAAAAGAGCAGACAGGAGAAGGAACAACTGAATTTGAGACATAATCTTCAAGGACTTAAGCTGTCTTAAATATTCCACAGCTGGCCAAAAGACTAGGAGATTCTTTTTTGTCATACTTGCTGCTGCAGCAAGAAAATGGTTAGCACTGTGGTGTGTACATCGTGCTGCATATTACTTTTTAGAAAGTATCTTTGCTTTAAGGTTGTATCAGAAATGTATTTAAGTCTATTGAAGAAAAATATGGATTTTGAACTTATAAGATGCTTTATATACCAAGGAGGTGTGTACAATGATTTGAACAACAATATTTAATTTGTTGACTTTTTTTCTATTGACTTATTAAATGTTATTTTGGATTCCAGCAAGTATGGATGTTTTGAAAAAATCAACTAAAGAGTTACTCCTTATGTGGTGCTGGCAACTGTTATAACTTCCTTTTAACCATCCACTGAAAGAGCTTTTCCTCGCACACATGCTAAAATGCACATTTTTTACAAAAACACACTTAAAACCTTAAAGCATTATTCATTTTGCAGTGGAATAACATCCTTATAGGTTGTCTTTAACCACTTGAGCTCCTGAGGATTTACCCCCCTTAATGACCAGGCCTTTTTTTGCTGTTTGGCGCTGCACTAATGTCATGCAATGCTGTACCCAAATGAAATTTACGTCCTTTTTTTCACACAAATAGAGCTTTCTTTTGGTGGTATTTTATCACCTGTGCGCTTTTTATTTTTTGCGCTATTAACAAAAAAAACACGAAAATTTTGAAAACAAACAATATTTTCTACTTTCAGCTATAAAAAATATATCGTAAACTCAAAGTTAGTCATAAATTTAGGCCAAAATGTATTCTGCTACATGTTTTTGGTAAAAAAAATCCTGTGCATTAGCGGGCAAACTGGCGATATCTGGGAGGGGCGCTAACACTATCGGAAGTCACCAGTGACACTAATACAGTGATCAGTAAAAATCTGTTCACTGTAATCAATGACACTGGTGACAGGGCAGTGAAGGGGTTAACTGCGGGGGGGGGGGGGCGATCAAGGGGTTAAATGGGATTACTGGTGTACTGGCGGGCAAACTGGCGCTATCTGGGAGGGGCGCTAACACTATTGGAAGTCGCCAGCGACACTGATACAGTGATCAGTAAAAATCGGTTCACTGATCAATGACACTGGTGACAGGGCAGTCAAGGGGTTAACTGGGGGGGCGATCAAGGGGTTAAACGGGATTACTGGTGTACTGGCGGGCAATCTGGCGCTATCTGGGAGGGGCGCTAACACTATCGGAAGTCGCCAGCGACACTGATACAGTGATCAGTAAAAATCAGTTCACTGATCAGTGACACTGGTGACAGGGCAGTGAAGGGTTTAACGGGGGGGGGGGGGGGGGGGCGATCAGGGAGTTAAATGTGTCCTAGGTGTGTTCTAACTGTGGGTATGTGCTGTTTTACTCACTGTTTGTATGTCTTCTTCTCTGTCTGGAACGGAATGTGTCCAGGCAGAGAGGAATGACATCATATTCTGTCCTGTGTAAATGTCAACACAGGATAGGACAGGGACCGATCATCTGATTTCAGCCAGACATCACTGGCTGAAATCGAATGATTGATCCCTCCGGGATCAAATGGTGTCACCCGTGGGTCGGCGGGAGCGCGCGCGCCTTCTGCCGGTGAAAACGTCGGGAGCGCGGAGCACGTTTTAAAACCAAGCTTTTGCGCCCCAGTGCCGCCCTGCACACGTATATATGCAGTGGCAGGGTGCAAGTGGTTAACTTACAAACTGACCTCCATGCTCTATTTAGTCGTTTTCCCACCGCTCTATAGCAGATATACTGCTTCAGGGCGGCAGGGGTGCGCAAAATCACGTGTATATATACGTGATTTTGCATTTCTGGGTAGGGGGCACGTGCACGGCTCGCTGTTCGCAACCTCAGCTGTCAATCACCTGGTCCCGGCCGGTGATTACTCACCGGCACCCGGTGATCAAGCAGGATTACCGAAGGAGGGAGAGAACTGTAAGTAAACAAAACAGTTCTCTCCCCTGTCAGCTCCTGCTTTGCATAGTAGTGTGCTTACAGAGAAGCACACACACAGCACACTGTAAAACAGCATACAGTTAACCCTTTGATTGCCCCACATGTTATCCCCCTTCCTGCCCAGTGCCATTAGTACAGTGGCAGTGCTTTTTATTAGCACTGATCACTGTATTGGTGTCACTGGGGATGTCCATGATACCAAGTTCCCCCCCAGTGTCAGAATGTCCGCCGCAGTCCCGCTATAAGTCGCTGATCGCCGCCATTACTAGTAAAAATCAAAATCCCAGTATATATACCACCATTTGTAAACGCTATATCTTTCACATAAACCAATTAATTTACACGTATTAGGATTTTTTTTTTTTTAGCAAAGACATGTAGCAGAATACATTTTGGCATAAATTTATGACGAAATTTGATTTTTTAAAAAACATTTTTTACTGGACATGTTTAATAGCAAAAAGTCAAAAATATTGTTTTCTCAAAATTGGTCTATTTTTTTTTTTATACCACAAAAAATAAAAAATGCACAGGCGATCAAATACCACCGAAAGAAAACTCTGTTCTTGAGAAAAAAAGAGGGCAAGTGGTTAATTAGGCAACTATGTGGCAAATGAGGTTTAATGTTGATAAATGTAAGGTTCTGCACTTGGGGGCTAAGAATATGCATGCATCATACATACTAGGGGGGGTACAACTGGGGGAATCAACGGTGGAGAAGGGTCTGGGGGTTCTGGTAGATCACAAGCTTAATAATGGCATGCAATGCCAAGCTGTGGTTTCTAAAGCGAGCAAAATCCTCTCTTGTATTAAAAGAGGTATAGACTCCAGAGAGAGAGATATCATTTTACCCCTGTACAAATCATTAGTAAGACCTCATCATGAATATGCAGTTCAGTTTTGGGCACCAATTCACAAAAAAGAACATTGGGGAACTGGAGAAAGTACAGAAAAGGGTAACCAAACTGATAAGAGGAATGGAGGAGCTCAGCTATGAGGAAAGATTAGAGGATCTAAATTTGTTCTCTCTTGAGAAGAAGAGATTAATGGGGGATATGATCAACGTATAAATACATCAGTGGTTCACATAGTAAACTCGGTGTAGGTCATCACAGAGGACAAGGGGGCACTCTTTATGTCTGGAGGAAAAGAGATTTAACTCTCCAAATATGGAAAGGTTTCTTCACAGTAAGAGCTGTGAAAATGTCAGCCAGAACTATGTAACTGTGTTTTTTGAAAGCAGAGGGACCCACAGAATAAAACAATGGTAGTTAGTTTTTATTTCACAAGATATTGGTGAGTGGTTTATCAAATATAATTTCATATATACAGCATTTTCAGTAAAAAAAATGCACTCAATAATTTTAGTGCACAAAAAAAAAATTCCCAATTTTTTAAAAAGTTTTGTACTAAAAGATGAGACTGAGTCGAGTAAATTGATACCGATTATATTAAAACCCCAAAATTTCTTTACAGTTCATTAATTTGAAGTTAACCATAAACAATGGCCTTAGAATGATTCCTCTCACTTTGATGTGCATGGTGATACCAAATATGAGTTGTGCAAACATTTTTTTTTATTTTTATAGCCCATTTCTAGCTAGCACTTGTTTTCTTTTTTTTTTTTCCCTTTTCTTGGATCAAGACTCTACATTGCTGTTAGAGATGGTCTTTGTACCTATATAGAGCGGCCATCCTCAGTCTATCTTCTGGAGTGCTGTGATGGGATTCTGGAAGTTGGGGGCCTAGCCTGGAAGTGACCTTCATGCACAGGGTTCTGCATTGTGGTTTGATCAATACACATGTGCAGAGCAGTCTTGTTAAAAGTTCATGTCAGTGGACCCTGCGTCCAAGGAGCACCTGACCTACATGGTCGCTGAGCAACAATTTCTCTTCAGACTGATCCGTGATGTTATTATAAAGGATGTCACTGGATGCAAGAGAAACTACCTGTTTCGGCTTAAAGCAGATTTTTATCCATAACAACTTGATTAAAAGTAGCAAGGAACATTCATTCTACATTAATAATTATGCTACAAAATTAGTGTGCTGTAATTTGCCTCAAGCATTGTTCCTGTTTCTTCATGCCAGAGGCTGCCATTATGCTGTCCGCAGATCATTCTGTAGTGACTCACTGATTGTTGGCAGTGCCAAAAAATAGAGTGCGACTGAGCATGTGCAGAGCAGGGTGAAACAGTGTATTCCTGGATTTTAAACAGTATAGGCACTTCTTTTTACACATGTTTTACATAGATATACCTGCAAAAGGGGCCAGCAGGGCTTAATTTTCCGACTAAAGTTCCACTTTAACCACTTCAAGTCCAGACACTTTTACCCCCTTCCTGTCCAGGCCAATTTTCAGCTTTCAGTGCTATCACACTTTGAATGACAATTGCGCGGTTACCCAAATTACCCAACAATTACCCAAAATAGTTTATAACCAAAAATTATAATTTTTAAACTTTTTTTTACATTTTTATTTGTTTATATTATTATTTGTATTTTTTTTTTTTTTACATACTGTCACTCAAGCAGTACAGTTTTTTTTTTTTTTGGTTTTTTTTTTTGTTTTTTTACACTGATTGCTTTTACTCCCATGAAGGCTGTAAAAACAATCATTTATCCTTCTCTCTGGCTGCATTCTTGCAGCCATTGAGAACTACTGTGTGAGCTGTGATTGGTCACAGCTTGTCACATGGTACAAGGCTGTTGTGAATAGCCTTGTACCATTTGACCTCTGTGATCATTCACAGATTTCACACGTAGTAAGCAATGATGTCAGAAGTGACATCTTGCTTACTACTCTGTATGTGATTACTGATTGGCCAATCAGTAATCACATGACTGGGGCCTCGCACAGAGGTCCCGTACGACGATCAGTGTTCCACTGTGTCCGGAGGACACAGCGGGCACCGGATCGCAGTGTGGCTCGCTCCCAGGGAGCGTGCACAAGCAGGGGGCGGCGTGGCCATTTATAAACGGCCACCCGACCCTGCACTGCCACCGTCCAGCCATTTATATACAACGGC